CACGGCTCCACCATCGACGAGAGACAACCGCTATTGAGTGGCGGTCCCAAGGCTAAGAAGAAGTGGTATCGTGCTAGACCGCTGTGGTGAGTCCCATTCTCCCTCTCAGCCGACGAACCAAACGATCGGTGTGGACGCATGTGTGCCCTGTAGATGCGTCTATTTCGCCATCAGAGTCTTCGGATGATTCGCGGTACTCATATTATAGCCTAGCTCATTGAGCCAGATGTACAGCTAATGTGACTCCATTCGCGGTCATGCACACTGACGGGTGCGGAATCGCCGCCGGTAAATCGCACAAGCATCTTATTTCTGTTAACCATCTGCCTCTGTAGGCAACTGGATCTGGCACCGCAAATATCATTCCAACTGCACTCAAGGAGCTTGCTCTTCCCGTCACTAGACGGAGAGACGGAGTGCTTTAGTAGTGTGGCCAGCGTGCTACACTTATCTACCACTGTTTTTGAATTCTCGCTGCAAGGATTTCAGCAGGCGCAGACGTGTCCTTCTGATATCGACTTTGTTTTGTCAATCCAATGAGATTTCAGCAATTTTGAGCCTTGTGCTACTAGCGCCGATGCTCAATGTGGCATTCTTACCTTTGTACGCTTGGCATAACACTCTCGCCGACTACATTACCAGATATATTCTTTCCTACACGCTGTTTCTGATAGGCATATACTGACTAATGCATGACAGGCTTGTTCCATTCTCTATCACAGCATCGATCGTCGTAGGTGTTCTCGACCTCTGCCCAACTCCGATGTACTCAACCTTGTTCACAGCGGGGCATGACACTTGGTCCCCGAGTAGAAATTTTCACTCAGCTATCCTGCAATGCTATCTATGGCCGCGACGTCTACGATCACACGTCGAACGGCAATATCACACTCCTTACCTCTAACTATTCTTATAATCCCGTACTTATGGAGCCTTCAAGCTCGTATCTCGATAGAGCACTTATAGACACATCTGGGGCAGTCTACAGTCCTGCGGTAACATTCATGATGCAAAGTTCCGCAGATACCGGTGACGATGATGATGAACCTGATCCCCGCGCAATCCCATCAAAACGGTGTCTACAAGATTCTGCTGTTCAATCTGGGGCCGCTCGCTTGCAAACAATCATGACTTTCACAATGGGTGTTTTATCTGCGCTGACAACTGGCTGGTGGGGTCACTTCGGTGAGATTCACGGTCGCACACGAGTGCTGGCTGCTGCTACCATGGGCTTGTTCCTCACGTACGCCTTCTCTGTCGTTGTCATCATTCACTGCACGCCCACTAATTTACACGATTATTGCCTCTAGTGATCTTACGTTTATCCTTGTATCAACACCGCATAGCATCTTCGCAACGCATGGCCACAAGTTGCTGATTCTCTCTCCGATGATTGAAGGCATGCTGGGTGGATGGCAGACACTCCAAGCTGCAATAAACGCATATGTGTCGGACTGCACTTCTGATGGATCCCGAGCACAAATCTTTTCGCGATTCACGGGCGTCTCGTTCCTCGGACTATCCGTTGGGCCTGCTATTGGCGCGTTCCTCATCCGACATCCAATTTTTTCGGTTCCGGCGAGCCCAAATATCCACGGCCAGCCACAGACTGTGACATCCGTATTTTATTTGAGCGCCATGGGCTCGTTTGTCAATGTCCTGTTAGCGTTGTTCGTGTTCCCTGAGCCACCAAAGAAATCCAAAATGATCCAGGAGCCAACGAATGTGCCCGATGCAGGGGTGTCTGGCGCGAGCACGAGCGAGAAGCATGGGTTTTTGGCTGGATTTCTGGGCCCGTTCGCGCTCCTTGCACCTAGGAGGATTCAGGTTGCGGGTGGTAAAACGAGGAAGGATTGGAGATTGACTTTGATGGCGCTTGCCCTCCTTGTGTATGCCCTGTCAACGGTTCGCATGATCTTCCGTAAGGCACGAAAACTGTATCTGAACTCTATTTCGTAGGGAATCTTCCAGATCAAGTATCTCTACGCCGAGCATGTCTATGGCTGGGGAGCAGAGCAAGTATGTCTTTTGTTGATAGCTGTTGATAGTGTCATAATGTACTCATCCATTTTACACAGCTGAGTTACTATATCTCGGCTATGGGAGCGGCACGGACAACATATCTGTTGGTGCTTATGCCCAGTGCGTCTCCAAAAATTCACTTGCTACGTTATCCTCATCCGTCCACAGTGATCATATATGCGTTCAAGCCAAGATTGCCGTCTGCACCCTCCGCTGCTCCAGTCGCTCCTGGGAAAAAGCCTCCCCAGACACCCGCTCAGATCGCTGCAGGGATGAGGTTTGACTATGCACTTCTGCGTACATCTCTCGCAGTCGATCTACTTTCGCATATCCTCGTCTCGCTCTCTCCGCCCGACTCGAGTGCGGCAATGTTCACAGCGGCGACTTCGCTCAGCAGCTTTGGCGCCGGGTTCGACCCTACGCTGCACAGTTTAGCGCTGTGCATCATGCAGACCAGTGGCGAAGATAACCGCGGGAAGCTCTTTGGCCTGTTCGCAATGCTCCGGACGGTTGGCCAGCTGATTCTTGGCGTACGTGATTTCATCGTGTTCGCTCGAGTGTGCTCTGCTAACTGGCGTACAGCCACTCCTGTTCGGAATCCTGTACAGCACCACCGTCGCCCAGTACCCGAAGGCGATCTTCGTTGCCGCTGGGTGCTTTGCGTTCCTCGCCATGATCTTCATTAGCCTGGTTCGCCCCGATGCTGGCACGAAGACGAAGCGCCGCCCTCGCCGCCTCGAAGACGCTGAACCTGAGCGCGGCCGCTCACGGGCCACCAAGGATATCAGGCAATCTAGCGCGAAGCACAGTGTGCAGATAGTCGTAGTCCCCGTCGACGACGCCCCCTCTACCTCTACCACAGATTCCGCAATTGGGTCGCAGTGATGGTGAAATCGTGTGTGTCGATGGCGGTGTATATATTGACCTCTTGTATCTTGTTTAATTCTCCTATCGTATGTATTCCGTAGATGCTGTTCAGCCATGTTATTATCGTGATGTGATGATTGACATCACTGTACATAGAACTGAAGTATGTCTGTCTCTGGCATATGTGACGAGTTTCGTGAGCCAGGCTTCCTCTACAATGTGATAACTGGGAAGCTCTATTATTATGAGCCAGTGAGTCCTGGACTAGTAGAGTCGCGTCTTGTTCTCCAATTCCAGTGCCTGTCGACTCGAATGGCTCCGTCTCGCCGCCAATCGTAATCGCGACCCCCGATCTGCGCGAAATAAACACTATCCTTGATTTAAACAGTAATGGTTACAGACCTTTGTCGAACTCTGGCAGGACATGACAGGTTGGCAAATACAGGATAGTCAGGAAAAAGACACGACGAAACAAGCCAAAACAAGATGGTGACGGCGAGGTTCGAACTCGCGCGGACTTACGCCCATTGGGAATCAAGACTAACTTAAATCCAACGCCTTAGACCAACTCGGCCACGTCACCAGCCCTGCTACAACGCGACTTGCTGTCTATAATATACGCCCTCTCCCCGCGCGCGCTGATCGTATTTCACGTATTTGATAATGCATCTGCATGATGGCGTTCCTCAATGTGTTCATTGAAGAGCCAGCGTCGACGACATGTTTCACGCGCTCGTTACATCGCACCAGTCCTGTCCCCAAATTTATCGAGTCCGTCTAACAATACAAATTATACACGGCAGCTCTTCGACGCGGGGAGCGTCCTCAGAGCGAGGATCTCAACACGTCCGTGCGGATACTCTCTACGGGACGGCAGCGCTGAGCACGGTGATGGCGATGGCCGAGAACGAGAGAAGGACGCGACTACAGACCTTCACTCGCCTTCCACGAGTTATAGTATACCTCGAGCTGATCGACCAAGCCCGCCTTGCGCGGCTGCCAGCCGACCAGCGCGCGGCCGAGATACGGGCGGATCAAAGTCGTGGTAGTGATCGCCTCATCGAACGCTGCCAAGTGCGGCGGTCAGCGGGCGGGAGAGGGACGCGCAGAGTGAGAAGGGGGGAGAGGGGCACGCACCGTTTGTCGCCTGGACGTAGTCGTAGCCCTGCGCGCGGGACACGAGGACGAGCTTCTGGAGGAGGTCGTCCACGCTCTCCGTCGCGTCGTTCGCGGCGTCGAAGATCTTGCCCGCGAGGAGGGACACCTTCTCCCCGACGAGGACGTACAGCGCCGCGAGGTCGTCCGTGTGCACGACCGAGTACCGCCCGCCGGGCGTGCCGAACCACCGCACGCGGCCCTGGTGCGCGGAGCGGAAGAGGCGCGCGAGGATCGAGCCCGAGCGGCCGTACACGAGCGAGGGGCGGATGACGACGACGTCGAGCGCGCTGCTCGCGGTGATCGCCTGCTCGAACGGCGGGCGCCACGCAGAGATGGCGACGGGGCGCGAGATGGGCGTCGTGTCCGTGACGATGTCGGTGCGGCTCTCGCCGTGCACCCAGGTGCCGGAGGTGCAGATGTACGCGAGCTTTGGAGCGCCGGCGGGGCGGTGCTGCTGCGCCGCGGCGACGGTCGCGCTGAAGAGCGCGGGCTGGAGCGTGCGGACGTCGGCGCCCCCGACGGCGTCGATGATGAGGTCGAGTGTAGCGACGAGGGGGACCCAAGGGGACGGATCGGTGGTCTCTGCGACGATGGGGATAACTGGTCTGGAGGTGAGCGCATGTCGGTGTGAGAGGGGACGGAGACTCACTCTCTTCAACTGCGAGCTCCTTCGCTTTGGCTGGTGAGCGAGTGACGCCGTACACTTCGTGTCCTGCACGGACAAAGGCCTGTGCGACGGGGAGGCCGATGAAGCCAGACGCACTGCAATGATCGATCCTGTGAGACATGCCATCCGATGAGGCATCAGCAGGCAACTCACCCAATTACGAGGACCTTCATTGTGCGTTATGTATATCGTATTCTGATACTTTCACGAAGAGGCTGCGGGCTCAATTAAGATGGAAATTGAGAGAGGGGGACATGGCAGCAGTTAAGTATTGCCGCTGAGGTCATGGTCTATGCTTGGTCAGGAGGTGGGAGAGTCAGCATCTCCGGAGGAAGTCAACACCCACCCCAAGGCCGCAACACTCCTCAATCACTACGTCACGTGAGGATACATCTCTTCAACCCGAATAAGGCAACGCAGTACCCAAATCTGGTACGTTGGCCAGATCCTGGTCCCGCCAGGTGTATTTCACGTCTGGTCCTCATCTCGGACTCGGACTGCCTGGTGGGGCAAGCTCTTGCGTAGATATACCGGAAAGTATGGTGGCTTTGGTGGAACATACAGCTTTTTGAAAATATATCTGCCGTGTGTATTCCGCAGCTCACACTTTCAAGGGCCCCCAAGGGTACTAAATATTTGCACTCGGCAGTCTGAGTAGTAAGTCTTGCTCATACGAACGACAGCCTATGCGAATCTGTCATGATCTCAAAGCGGGCGATGATGCGTTTCCTGCTTAGCGACTCCAAGCCTCCCACAGGAGCAAGTCGGAGGGTGCTCAAAATCATAAACCGATAATAACTACAATGACCTCTCAGCTCGGACTTTGATTAGCATCATCTCCGAGGTCTCACGTAAGAGTGCTTGACATCGGGAAATCAGCCTCTCGGTGAGTCCCTTCCTCTCTTTATCGTCATTCAGCATTGGCTTACCTCGATACCATTCAGCCCTGTCCATACTCACTAGACGATCGATTAATCCCGAATCTATTGCGACCACCTTCCCCACATATTGAATCTGACCCGGACGACTCAACGCTAGCAAACCGAGTTCTAAACCCTCGCGGGAATCCAGCCACCAGTCCCCCAATGTCTGTCAAAACTCCCTCGGCTGCTGGGTCCAAAATCTCAAACCTAGGCTCGGTGAGACTATGCCAGATGCCTGTACACAAACGTACCAATCTAAGACAACTGATATCCCATTGCGTCGACACCAATGATGTGTTTGATCAGAATCCCCGCCTCCACTGTGTACTTCCCTCCCAGCGCGCGGCGCGTCCATGCACCACCCAGGCGCGGAAGACCACGCGCATTCAGGGGGGTACCCTTGGCATCGAACGCATTCGGGTATTCCTCCCCGACCTTCAGAGTGACCGCTCCCGCAGGCTTTCCTGCCTTCCTGAATGTGTTCGCTACAACCCTGCGAGACCATCGCACGAAAGAGTGGATGTCAGGCATAAAAAAGGGGGAGACAGAAGAGGCGCACCCTGTATCATACGTCAGGTAAGCAAGCTGCGCCTCGATGCGTTGGCCCCCCTGCATCGACATTCCGTTCGCGTACCAGCTGATCGCGAGCTGGCAGTTGTACCCTGGGGACTTGCCCGTGAACTCTGGGCCGCCTGCCTGGATCGCAGTGCGATCGTTAGCTCGTGTTCCAAAGCAAACCACACCACCATGCATGCACGCACCGCGTCCGAACCCGTGATGATCGTCTTTCCGTACGAGATCTCGGGGTCGTCCGAGTCCATGGAGCTGCGCCAGTGGTCTGTGAACGCACAGCACAATAGATACACGCGCGCACACTTACAACGCCGAGCCGCTCGGGCAGTTCACGCAGTTCACCTGGATCTGCCAGTTGTCTGTCGAAGAAAAACCAGCTGCAAATACACGGTCAGTGCGAGCACGCCAACAGTTCGACGCCACTTACACGGGATGGTCAGACTGCTGCGCATGACCTGGGTAGCGGCCGATGGGCTCGTGGCGTAGCAGATGTTGCGCCACGACACGCAGGGGTTGCTGAGAACCCACGACACGAACTCCCCACTCGTCACAAACTCGCCCGTCTCCTCATGCGGCCACTGGTAGTTGTCGCCGGTAGAGGGATCGACCCCGTCGTATTTGCACTCGGCAATCAAGCAGAAGTGGTCACTGCCAGCAGGAAGGGGAGGCAAATTGACGCAGTTGAATGGCTTCTGGATGACGACAGGCTGCTCAGCGGACGACGTGTTGTACGGGAGGATCTCGGGACCCGTCGGATCGCCATTCTCATCGTAGTCCATGATGGAGTACTGCTCATAGAGCGAGGGATGGAGTAAGAGACCACTCGGGATGGCAAATAGACGTGTGTTCCCAGATGTTCCCTCAGTCGTTGTGCCACGGAGATACACGTAATTGGACATGTTCTGGTACAGTGTCTGTCGTGACAGGCGCATGTGAGCTCGGACGGTTGAATTGAAGCAGCTCCTAGAGCGATTCACTCACAATTGCGCGCTGGTCACTGACGTCGACAAAGTAGTTTGAACCACCCAGCACCGAGTTGATGTTCGGGAGCGCTTGCTGTCCGAGGGGCTGAATATCTGCTGCGCCGTCAGCGCAGATCATGGCAGAGAGATGAACACACGCACCGCACGAATGCGACGCGTTCTCGTTCCTCGGGAACGAGTCCACGTCTTGCACTGACTCTCTGAAGTAAAATGGGTCGCTTCCATTGCTTGCTGGCGAGGGATGCACAGCAGCGGCACGGCGCGCCTCGTAGCGCTTCACGAGCCTCTTGACGCGCATGTTGGAGTGGAAAACGACGTGCTGCGCGCCGAGCAGCACGTAGTTGTCCTTCCCATCGATGGCGTATGCGACGATAGAGACGGACGAGTTATCCGCAAAGACCCGCTTCCTCTCGTTCGTGATGTGGAGTGTCAACATGCCGTCAAAATTGGCGGGCACCTCGACCTTCGTCTGCACGAGCGCTGTCGGCGAAAGTGAAACGCGCTGCTGCGCGAATGAGAACGGTTTGGCGTTGGGTGTTGCACCGGCGCAGGAGAAGGCGATCTCGATGTCGTCCTTGGGCGTGCCGACAGCCTTGACGACACACAACGTTGTTGTCAGCCGTAACCCACATATACCTACAATACACCTACCTCGATGGCAAACACCATGCTGACGCTCTCGCCCCTAGCGTTGTCCAACATGCGGAAGCGCGTTGCAACGCTCACATCTGGCGCCACAGGGTCCGCAAACGTGCAGTTGTACGTCGCGACGGACGGCTCCTGGCCGACGAGCCGCACGAGGTCGCGCCACGTCTTGACGCGCGCGGAGAGGTTCGTGGGCGTGCGCCCCGACGTCGCGACAAACGCGTCCGCACGGCCGAGGCCTTGGGCGGGCGTGTACGACACATACGCCGCGGACGCGACGACTGCCATCCAGGCGCACACATATCACGGTCAGTACACCTCGCACGAGATAGCAAGCAGCTGTCCACGCACATTTGCCGTCCATGCCAGCCTTGAGCTCGACGGTGCCGAGGGGCGCGGCGGCCTCCCAGGCCTGCGGCCAGAGCACGAGCTCGCTCGGGACCGCGCGCAGGCCGACAGTGTGGCGCAGGCAACCGTGCCCAGTGGCAACGGCGGAGCGGCCGCGGACGTAGATGGCGGTGCGCGGCTCGGCGGGGTCGACCGCGTGGGCGAGAAAGTGTTCATGCGCCGCGGCAAGCGTGGCAGGCTTGGCGTTAGTGTGGCTCAGCGGGATGATGTCCGGGCTCTGCGTGGAGATTGGGCAGGTTAGAAAATGGGGCGGCAGCAAGATAGCACGGGCACTCACGAAAGCAGCGAGCGAGTTGACCTGGTCGACGAGCCCAGTATTGAGGCCTGTGTGGCGGGGGCAGCTGGTAAGGCGAACGCGGAACGGGAAGAGAAGAGGAGAGTGTACGCACTGGAACGCAGGTAGATGCCGTCGGGTAGGGCTGCATTGACCATGATGAGAGCGAAGGTAAAGACGATTGATGAGATGATGTATACTGCCAAGGTGAGCTGGGAGTATGGAGAACAGCCGACGCTGCAGACCTTTTATACGTTCAGGCTAGGGGCCTGTCGCTGACGCAACACGACAGCATTGGCAATCTGTTTGCGAGTCACGGCCGTTTTGTTCATCCATGGAATCCATCGAGAGACAGAGGAACGGAGGTGAAGGATTAGCTCGGAGAATGTCCAATATCCTCATAGTGAGAAAGGAGCGACGGGTCTGTGAAGGTGTGATGTCTGTGCTCGTCCCACCTTTGACCACGGTTCGATGGAAAGCGGGGTACGGTGCCCGGCCAGATTGGGCGAGATGCACCACGTCCGGAACCATCTCATTTGGGCAAACGTTTACAAAAAGAAGGCGGCGGATGTGCACCTGTGAATGACACAATTCTGATGATAATAGGAGCAGCACAAAGGGAGGGAGACGGCCGAGTGCACTGACGCCAAATCACCCCCTACTGTATATTGCGGTGTGCCCCAGAATTGTATCCACAGCGCCTGGGTGACCCAGTTTCAACGTCGCGCTTGACGCGAAAGGGGAGCGCAATGCGACGCGGCACAAGTGGTAGCGCGTAGTCATCTAGCATAGACGCATCATAGTTACGCGAGCGCGAGCGCAATTAAACGTGTCCGCAACCCCCAGGGGGATCTGCACCCATGGTATGTCAAACAGATGATCCGGATGCGCTGCTACCGTTTATGTAGTGCGACGTCGGACGTACGAGCACACCTGTGGCCTATAGAACATATCCGAGATGCGATAGGTGACACTCCTTCAGCACACGCGGAGTGAAGAGACGGAAGGATATCTGACCGGAGGGAACGGCGGTGCTGCGAGAAGCGCGAGGGACTGTGTGGGACGGCGTCGGTAGAGAACGGTCGGCGACAGGGCTGGAGGGCGATGCGTAGTACCCCAACCAACTGCGGTCTCGAAGGAGCAGAAGCGACGGGGACGTGGTGCAATAGGAGTGGTGACGGACGTCGTCCTGCCATTGTGTGGTCCGACGGCGAGCAATGGGATGCAGAAGCCTCAGAGAGGGGGGCAGATTTCGTGAGCAGAGACAGGCTCCATCGCAAGGCTCGTACCCTACGAACGTCGGCCTCATCCCGCACCCGACACGGGGGGAACGTGTGCGTGAAGCCTGTCGGTGTGCTGTATGTCGCTCGTCACGCATTCGGAGCGGAGCGCGCGTGATACATCCGCCTGCTCCGTAGGAGCGGTACGCACAGCTTACCATGTATCACAAGTTCCCATATATCAACTGGGCTGTACTGGCCCGATGAGTTAGAACGACTAGTATGGACTGACTGTGACGAGGGCGAGGTAGGATACTACTTGCAAGCCAATTTTGGACACCTCCCTTTCGCTCATACCATTCACTGACTGAGCTATCATTATTGATCGAGCCTATGGACTCTTTGGGCATCACGGCCAAGCAGAATCCAGGTTGGAATTCAGCCCGAATATGCCTCGGAATGACTGGCCTCAGGATGCGCCGATCAGAATGCGCCCTCAATATTCGATCCAAATAATCGACGGCATCACCTTTGTGAGGTGGGCACTGCCATATCATGATACTTTGATTCGCAGATGTACGTCGCCTAACACTCGTTCTTCAACCCATGTATTTTAACGTTTGGGCAAATCTGACTTAGGTGGCTACTTGATACCTGGGTCGAGTTCAGAACATCTGATGGAGCGAGGGTGTGCCCTACAGTTGACTAGTGATATAGTTAATATTATTGACAACGGTGTCGTCCTCATGGCAGATTGCGTGTACATGCGCCCTTGTACTGTCAGGAGTTCTGGATGCACTCATCGCTCTCAGCCAAATTTATTATCTTTGGACTAGCCGCACAGGTTACCAGGAGTGGGTATCTATTGCATTCTTTAAGATTAGCATCTGAACCACTAATGAAGACAGATAATCTAGTTCGGAAGTTGATGGCCTACATCATCAACACCGGTGCCTTGACGATGTAAGTCGAGTCTGGGTCCGCCTGTTTTCTAACATATCGACTGACAGTCCTGGAGGTGTGTTACGATTGTCATCATCGCGACGGTATTAGTCCTAGCCGAAATTCTGTGCCTCTTTTGCTTACACGTGCTGTATCCAGTTCTGGGCACCAGCCTTGAGGGATAGTCTGGTCTTTGCCGGATTGTACGAGATTCAGAGCAAACGTGAGCATTCTTCAGATCTGGCTATCTCCTTAGCTGACACACCGCAAAAGTGTATGCAAATTCCCTGATTGCCATGTGCGATGTCTTTCTTTCCTGTGACTAGGCCTAGATCACAAACGCTTTACTCTCTTCCAGGCTGAACGCACGACAGCACCTCGGCCTCAAAGCTGGACGACAGCATTCTTCTAACCTGGTCGAGATCGAGTTTCATACTGCGAGCCGTGGATTGTCCGGACCGGTACGCACGGTCTCTCCTATCAGTTCTTGACGGGTAGCCAATTATTGACAATGTCGGGTCAGCAAAACATCGAGATACTCTGTGAAACGGCAGAGGCCTCCGATGATAGTACAAGGAAGAACGGCGCACCTGGAGAGGATTAGTATGATGTACCAGATGCTGCTATTGTAGTTCTGATAGTTCCAAACGGTCTCGATTTGTCTCGAATGAGATTTGTTGTGTGTGGAGATAACATAAATTTTGATCAATCAGCACTCCATACTCGCGCATGGGCCGCCGACGAATCGTCGCCTACCTGTAGCAGCTTGGGCGAGTATCTCTGCCCATTCGAACGCAGTGACGCGCCACTCGCCGCCCTGGGGGAACATGCGCCCTCCGAGAGCGGAGCTACGGCTGCACGCGAGCACGTCGTACAGCTGGGCGACAACGCGCACGCGGCCAGTGCGGCTCCGTTTCGAGCTACTCGAGCAGGGCGAACACTGGAAATATGGCGTCGCGAACCTGACTCGCGGCGCATCCGGTCGCCGGAGGCAGGGATGGTCTCACGAATATGTCGTGCGATCGTTCGCCCACCAGGTTCAAGCCGCAATCAATGCTGAGCATCGTGGTGACCATGTCTTTGTCGACGGCGAGGGCCCGGATGGGGTCAGCGATATATTGGGCATGAGTTTGGACTTGGCGTCTGGAAGGCTGTTGTAATCCATTTACTTTGTATTCTGTACGCCGAGAGTGGTGATCGTA